TCATTTGCTGGACTTCACTTGTTCTTACAAACTCAGCTTCCAGTACAGGAAATAGATGGATTTCTTGACGGAAAATACGGGGAGCATGCTTCAGTTGAGGAGCTTATAGACACTCACGAACTTACAAATGCAAGTGAAGACAATGTGGAATATGTATGTTCAAGTGAAAAATGTGCCTTGATGTCTGCTAACTGGGACATACCCTCACCTGCTATAAGTATTACAACTTGTGAGTCTGATGATGTAAGTTCTGCAAAATCCCTGTCTTGCAGCTACAATAGTTCAGACAGTTTACTGGGACCAATGTCAAGTTCAGTGGAAAGCAGCTCTTTCATGTATACTGTGTACAGGTAGCTTAAGATTGTCAATCATGAACACTCCCTGTGGTACTGTACAATACAGCAATCAACTCAGAGGGTAAAGCCCTAGTCTGCATCTTGCAGTAATCTCTTATGTGATGAGCAAGTTGTTATTCTGCATTACATCCCAGAAGGTGAAAGGTTGACTATGGATTGTACTATCCAAATCAGTGTAACCCTCAAGAGGTTCGATATTATTTCTCCTTCTTCCCCCGACTAGAAGCTTCTGAACTCTTAAAGACCCAAGAGTGTCCAACATTAATTTTCTCCTAATGTCATCAATACATAAGTTATGAGAATTAATAATGGTTATGCTTTGATCTGTAAACAAATTCTCTCAACTGATTCTCTAAGGGGATGTATAGAGGATCAGTCTGCAGAGTTTGTATCTGGATACTGGGGTCTAAAAGGGTTCAGAAGGCAGCTCCCAGAAATTTCAAGATATTTAATTAATTAATTGTATTCCAGCCCTCTTTTTTTGCTTGTTTTTGCATCGTGTTACAGGTAGGAATACTTGCTAGGCAGGGTAATATATTTTGAACTCTAGGCACTAGTTATTACCGGGTCAATTTAATCGAATTTTTACAAGTGTAAAATTATGAGTGTAAAGTGCTATTGTTTTCAGACCATAAAACAATAGCTGCATTTGTAACTATTGTACAGTCTGTAAAAGTTTTATTAAATTGACTCTTGTTTTAGAGCCGATTGTTGTAAACAAATGCAGTCAAGACTAATGAGGAAAGATTGTGTTGCCCTACAAATTTTCTGTGCCCCATTAGCCTAGACTGCAAATATGCATTAAAGGAAGGAATTGTCAAAATATTGTTTGAAATCTCTTTACATGTATGTAGATCTTCAACTGAGTATTATTTTGCATGTCAATGGCATTAATTTTATTTTATGGATTGGATTTTTTATCCAAGTTTGTGTGCCTCATGTAATCCTCACACCAGTGTTATTTTTTCTTAGGGTGGATTTTCACTGTCTCAAAATTTTTGTGTGTGTATGTTCGTTGAGCGAGGTTCAACTTTTACGTGTACACGTGACTTTCCATACATTGCCTCTGTTTATGCACCTTAAAGTTACGCGACAGTGGAAATCCACATTAAGTCACTGTATGCTAGAGGGCAACTTGATCAGCAAGAAAGAGTCAGAGTTCTAGGAGAATAACTTTAGGACAGATTTCTAAATTCTTTCTCATTCTTGTTAGTCAAATCTATAGGGGCTGATTTTGATTTTTAGCCACTTGGGTACAATAATAGTTTGACAAAGACTTTCAAATGAAAAATATTGTAGGATTCACCATTTTTCATTTTGACGTTTTGGCCTGACAGATTTCTGGGAAAAATCTGCAGAGCTGCTAAAAATTTCTGTGTCCATATTAACTGTAAAAGCTCTTTATCTGCATTAACATGTACATACTGGAGTTGCAATAGCCAATATTTTATTTACTTCAAAAGTCTCATTTTTTTTTTCATTTTTCTTTGGGATATTAATTTTGGAGACATGTTTGTCACTGTAAATTAGATAAAAATATTAATATATTTTTAACAATATTGTGTATGAAAGCCATTTGGTTCAATTCTACATATCATATTTTTGATGTATTTCTCCAAGCTTGTACAGGGAGTTAATTTAAAAGATTATTTATTGTTGGAAGTTTGCTAAAGATGAGTAAAAGACTTGCCAAACTTACAAAAATAAATGTTGGGATTAGTGTCTGTATTACAGTCTGTCTGTGCTTCAGTTATTCCAGGGAGGTCTATCAGAAGTCATGTATTGTGGCAAAGCAAAAAAGAAAGTACAATAGGTTTGAAGGAAATAAAGGTTTTTGTTTTAAGTCTGTAGCCCCAATTGTTATCAATGGAAAATTACTTTTTAGCAACTGGTCAGTGTAAAACGCAGACTGTGGACTACTGTCTTCACCATGCAAATGAGAAAGTGACAACAATAGTCCCATTGTTGTACCCAAAAAACAATGGTCCACAGTCAGTTCACAGTCTGCATTTTACACTGCATCTTTTATCAACCGTTGTTTTCAGCTTGGAATGTATTGCTTGTTCCCTAACCCATCCAAAAGCTGAATGTTTATAATGTTGTTTGTTCGTTGTTCTGGTGTAGTTAGTGTCATAATTCCTAGGTTAGAATTTAATGTAAGCTGCTTCATTTCTGAAACTGAAAAACATTGTAACACATAAGGTCAAGTAATACGGGCAACATTTTCGCATAACTTATCTCGCAACATTGTTGCGTTGCTAGTTGAAAAGGGCTGTTGCCCGTATTACCATCTTTGCTCTCAACTTGTCACGCAACAAATTTCGATGTTGCAAGTTGCGGCTCTTAAAGAAAATCATGTGTTCTGATTGGTCAACAGTGTTTTTTTGTGTCGGCAAACAAAATGGCTTGTTGACCTTCTGTGGTCCCTTTTTGTACTTCCCTTGTCAATGCCGTTCTAAGGCTGTGTAGTTGTTTTTTAAGACAGTTAAGTGAGATGTTAAATTTTTGACATAACTCATCCAGAGCTCTTGGCCTCCGTGGCTTGTTTTTATACTCTGGTCCACACGTTTCCCACAGACATGGGTGCTTTTCAAGTTCTTTGCACAAATCTTTTCTTTGGGCCTATGATATTTTTTCACTAATAAATTCACAATCTTGGGCCTCACAGGAGCCGATACTTATTCCTGGGTCTCAACATTCTCAACCTCCACAACCTCGGCCATGTTTACTTCCTGCCCAAATCAGATATGCTCGAGGTCAAGCGTGCGCTTACTCACCATCTTTCCCTTGTTTTTGGTGTGGGAGAATTGACCAATCACAAGTGTTGTGAGGTGTAGCAAGTTGTGATGCACATGATAAAATTGAAAGTTTGTTGCAAAAGGTAGAACTCAGGTCTACTTTGCGCAACATATTACCACAACTTGCAACATCGAAATTTGTTGCATAACAAGTTGGGAGCGAGGGTGGTAATACGGGCAACAACGCTTTTCAACTTGCAGTGCAACAATGTTGTGCGACAAGTTGTGTGAAAATGTTGCCCGTATTACCTGACCTTTAAAAAGTTTACCCATCACAAGGAGATTTGGCTCTGCTGGAGGAGTTCTGTTGCCGAGCACCCTTATTTGAACACATATTTTTGCTCAACATAGATCCATCTAATAAGACTTTAAAAAGTGCAATTTCCAGCATAGTCCTGGCAATATTGGTTTTGGCCTCATAAGACAACAACAGCTTTACTGGCAAATTAAATTACCTAATTAAAGGTTGTTTTTGCTAATACCATGTGGGTGGTTGAAAACACAAGGACTGCAAAATGTCCAACTCTAGAAATACCAGATGATGTTTACCTTCAGTACAATTGTAAGATTCACCTTAGATTTGTCCCAAGAACATTGTGTTTGTTACAGGTCAAAATGAAATGATTTTTCAGGTTAAAATTTTTTAACCTAGGTTGATCCTCCCAGGGCTAGGGGTAGGGTGCAGTGGGTGCCCCCCCCCCCTCCGAGATGACCTGCGGTTTTCTAATACAACTGGTATTCTGCAAAAAAAAAAAAAAACTATGTGGTTTATTGGTGTTGAAGAAGAGCAAGAGACGAGTGCACCCCCTCCTAAAAAAAAAAATCCTGGATCCGCCCCTGCCACCATTTCTTTTGTCTCCCTACCCTATAGTAATAATCGATAATAATAATTGATGGATTAGAATGAGACTCTGGTAAACTGCCTACAGAAAAACGTTGGGTTCGGGGAGGGAATGTTGCACTGATCCTGCTTAACTGTTAAGAAATAAACATACTTAAGTGTCTCTTGTAAGCAGACTGTTTCATGCATTCAGATAGCAGGATTGATAGCAGAAATTCACAATTAACTACAAAAGTAACAAAAACAAGATTTTTATTGTTTTTCCTCTGCATAAATAAACCCACATCTGTTCAGCAGATAACAACCACTGTATTATTAAGGAGGTATGAAAGGTTAAAACTTCAATAAGTACCTTGACTCTTTTTTTTTTTTTCGATATTTGAAAGTTTGGACAAATGTCCAAAGGATGGGGCTCTGTAATGCATTAGTTTCTTAGAAATGGAACTTCAAATCTTCTAACTGACAAAAGGATTTCACTTCTATTTAGTATTACTACGAAGGATAATAGGCATTGCCCTTTTTGTGGATGCAATGTAATGGAAGACGCCAATGCCCTACATACTCTATGATTAGAAATGAATTTTACTATAAAGTCATGACTCTGATTCCAAATATTACCCAGTTACCTATAAACAGTTTGATAAATGAACTGATGAACTCTTCTAATTACTTTGTCAATATTCAATTCATAAAATACATTTCAGCTTGTTTTGATGTTCATGACAAATTATTATCAAAGTAACGTAATTGCCCTGTGTTGTAATAAAATTTTGATTCCTAAAAATAGCTTTTGCAATACTGTATGTGCTTGTATGGTCATGCAAATAAGCTTGTTGTTGATTGGTAGTGAAGTTCTATCCAGTCTAAGGATGATATCCTGTGGTGTTACATAAAATAAATAATCATCATTTGGGATCAAGACTTTCTTTAGGACCTTATTTCATTGCAACAATTTGGAACATTTAAACTACTTTACTGGAAAGTCATTTTTGCAATGCAAATGGTTTACTTTGTAGAAGGGTACAGGTTATTTGCTTTAATGTAGTCAATCACTTCATCCGGTATCAAATATTTCACACTTTCACCTCTTCTTAAAGACCTCCTGACAAAAAGGAAATGAAGACAATATTACAATGAGATCAAGTAGAATATCAAGCCATAAGCAAATCAGCCAACAATTATTATGACCCCCAAGAAAGATCCTTTTGTCTTTCTGAATCAGATGTAGAAGAAGCTTATTAATGAAAGTGACAGCTGACAGAAGCTATCGATGTTGAATAGACTAGTGAGTTTCAAAAATTCTCCACCATTATTAAGTAAATAATTTATTCACGGTAAAATTAATTTGAGGAGGACTCGGAAAAAAAATCCGAGTCCCAGATGGGATTTGAACCCACGACCCTCCGTGATCTAGTCGGATGCTCTAACCACTTGAGCTACTGGAGACTCTATGGTGAGCAAGGGCCAATTTGTGGGTCTCGACTGGAACCGCATCATGCGGCTACACAGCCAAGTAATGATAGGCACACAAGAAGTGAAGAACTCACTAACAGAATCGCGCTGTCACCTTAAAGCATATCAAAGATGCGGCCAACCAACCTCCAAAGTGAGTATATTAAAGATGAAACAACAACAACATGATATTAATTTGAGGAGGACTCGGAAAAAAAATCCGAGTCCCAGATGGGATTTGAACCCACGACCCTCCGTGATCTAGTCGGATGCTCTAACCACTTGAGCTACTGGAGACTCTATGGTGAGCAAGGGCCAATTTGTGGGTCTCGACTGGAACCGCATCACGCGGCTACACAGCCAAGTAATGATAGGCACACAAGAAGTGAAGAACTCACTAACAGCATCGCGCTGTCACCTTAAAGCATATCAAAGATGCGGCCAACCAACCTCCAAAGTGAGTATATTAAAGATGAAACAACAACAACATGATATTAATTTGAGGAGGACTCGGAAAAAAAATCCGAGTCCCAGATGGGATTTGAACCCACGACCCTCCGTGATCTAGTCGGATGCTCTAACCACTTGAGCTACTGGAGACTCTATGGTGAGCAAGGGCCAAAAAAAATATTTATTCTCCAGTAGCTCAAGTGGTTAGAGCATCCGACTAGATCACGGAGGGTCGTGGGTTCAAATCCCATCTGGGACTCGGATTTTTTTTCCGAGTCCTCCTCAAATTAATATCATGTCACGGTAAAATTGTTACCATAAATCTTCTATTAAGCCCCCCTCTCAAGTAAGCCCCCTCCCTCTCTAATAAGGCCCCCTTTTCATAGACTGCAAAAGAGTCAATTTTTTTCTTGAAATCTGTAAAGAAATCGGCAAAGCGTGGCGTAAGAGTCTTACGTGGCAAAGTGCGCGAGTCTCACACGCCCTATATTATGGGTGTGTGAGGCGAGAGAAAAAAAAACCGACTGTCCGTTTTCCACACAACGAGTCTGTTCCGATCAGGGGTTCAAAAAAGGTTGTCAAAAATCTGTTCACAACTCCGCCCTCTTTTTTGAATTTGATACACTCGCTGACTGATTTTAAGGGAGAAAAGCGCGTGTTATTGTCTGCACTTGGCTTCTAACCGTGACGCTGTAATCCAGTAATTCTAAAGCAGTTTATAGCATTGCTTCTCTGTGAAATGTAGTGTATATAGTGAAATGTAGTATATATAGTGGAGGATCAAAAATGAGTGGAAGTGGCAGTACGACAGCAAAGCCTGTGCCTGCTCCTCGAAGAGGGAGAAAGATGAAAGAGCCAAGGGCTTCGGATAAATTGTAGAATGTGCGGCTGTTGTTTCAAAACACGTATTTTCAGTGTCTCTCCCCAGTCTCGCTCTCTGTTTTCAGCCTTGTTCTAGACCTTTTGTTTGACTGCTTGTGCGTACTTGAATACGCAAAAATGAGGACTGTTTTGCAGTCTACCCTTTTCAGGGGAAGAAAGTTAATAAGCCCCCCCATCCCCACCCCTAATTATTCTTCAGTAATAAATGGTAGACTATTAATCAATCGCCACCGTAAAACGTTGTGTGGACTGATCCGGAATGGTTTATCTACGAGCTGGAAGTTCACATTAGATTCTGATCCTCGGCTGCATGACCTAAAACTTCTTGTACTTGAGCTTTTCCCCTTTGTATTATAGTTCTTTATCGAGATCTGATACCATCATCTTTTCTAAATTAAATAAGCCCCCCCGTCTCTTAAGCCTAACGCTAACCCTAACCCTCTTAAATGGGCTTGAAATAAATAAGTCCCTCCGGGGGGCTTAATAGAGGATTCACAGTAGTTTAACTTTTAAAATAAATATCAAAGTGTTGTAATGCACATTTGGCTGTTTCTCAAACAAGACATGAGCCCCAGGGTTTTTTTAAAAAGTGCCTTCTGATCCCTTGCCGTATCAAAAGTGAAGACGCCCAGGGGTGCAGCTAATATAAATGGAATCATTATCATTATGGCATGTATTTTTTTGACAACAACACGACATTAATTTTTTTACCTTATTTTTGTAGCACTAACATCATTTGCTATCCACTCTGTGACAATGTGAATGTTATTCTGTGTATCAGTAAAATACATGTAGTAATACATGTGCATAAAGTCATCTACATACCTCTAATACATGCGATAAAACTGTTAAAACTGTCCTTAGTACGACTTAATTAAGTTGCTTACTTTGAACTTTGTAAGAACGTCTGACTCATAGATGAAAGACTCTGGATTTGATCCTGCCCGCGATATCACGACAAGACCATGTTTTCCCACGATTTTTTCAATCTGTTGGCAGGATGGTTATAATATAATAAAAGACTTCAGCAACAAATGTTAGGTAACATCAAAAAAAGTTAGAAATTATGGCAGCCCCTTCAAATTAGCTCATCGTTCAATTTTTGACTCAGGAAATGGAATAGTTAAACACCCTGCACGTGCTATTTCATGCAGTTACAGTACTTCCTATTTTATGGACACTGAGGGCTTCTGTTATGCATTTACAGGGTTGTCAGAAAGTTTTGAAGTAGACAGCTGAGCTGTCAAAGTAAGAGGCAAGTCCAGGGATACTTTACTTAAAAAATGCCATCTATAAAGAAATGCCAAGCAGAGTAGCTGGCCGATACTAACCAAGTAGGCGGCGATTTTCACTGGCAGCCGGCTACTTTTGACAACCCTGTATTTAATGGTTTCATCAATCACAACATTATTTTCATTTAGAAAACAAGGTTACTTATTTGGGCCTGACTGCACTGTTACTCAATGTTTCATGTACATGTATTGAATGTGATGTTAAAATATTTTTGGGCTAGCAACCCAGTCTCCTCTCCCCCCAGTCCCCACCATATATCCACTTCAATATATATCTCCATTTATAAGTATTTAAAGAATTGCACACAGCTTCATGTATAAAAATTACAAAATCTTCCATATTATAATACTCTGCCTAATTTCAGTCAGCAATAATGGTAAGCAACGAAGTAACTCATGTAAGGAAATTTCCGGATATCAGTGTGCAAAGAAAGTAGTGTTTGATAGCCCGGGGCTAGTTGATTTTGCTATCGTGCAAGTTAATTCTGTTTTTAACTTGCCCGACGGGCAAGTAATGTTTTTTGAGGAATTCGAATAAAAGAAGAACTGTGACATCAATTCTGCTAGTCAAAACGCTTTTGGGGCTAGTTGAAATGACATCTGGGCTAGTAAATGCTTGCTTCAGCTTGCCCAAATGGCAAGCTGTAAAAATGATTTTCTTTGCACGCTCCATATTAATAATGTTATTAAATCCTTTTATAGACTGGGTTGTAATTCAACTCAGTAATCGATCCTGAATGTAGAAGTAGAAAGGTGTTTAAACCTTGTCGTTTACTAAGATTTTCTAGTCGAGGTGTTTCGTTGAAGTGTTGTTGTCCTGAACCCGGACACTTTACTACAAACCATACTGACACAAGGGGCCACTAAAGGCCTGTTGAAATGAGCCCAATAACTGGGTTAGTGAGAAGATTAAGGTTAAGCTAAGTTAGGGGACGTATAATCCTCAAACAAATGAAATTACCAACAGCCTGGTTGTTCAAGTTGTCTTGAATAAAAAAACTCCGGTTGTTGAGAAATGGCTGGCGGTTGCTAGGCATATTTGGCTCTGGTAGGCAAGGGGTTAAAAAACTTGTGCCTTACTTAGGGCTCAAAATAACGGCTGGTCAATAAACAAGGGGCGGCCAGAATGGCATCTTGATCATGACGGGCCAAAAAATTCACTAACTGGTCATGTTGCCCAACATCAATTTTCTCCCAACAAATATATCAATACATAATTAAAAGAAAAGTTTATGAGATATATAAATAAAATGTTTTGATCTTTGAAAAAATTCTCTCACCTAATTCTGTAAGGAAATACCGTAAAATTCCAAAAATAAGCGCCTCCATGTATAAGCCCCTCCAAAATTTAATATAAGTCCCACAAAATTGTAAATATGCAAAAAACCCTCCGTTAAATCGCCCCTCCGAATATAAGCCCCCCGGGGGGCTTGTACTTGGAATTTGCCCTCGAATACAAAGTAAAACAAAGCAAAAATGGTAAATTTCCTTCCCACTACAAGCTAGCCCAATTGATTTTGAAATGCAAATTTCCCTCTGTACATAAGCCCCTCCAAATATAGGTCCCTCCAAAAATAAGCCCATCAAAAAGGGCCTTTGAAAAATATAAGCCCCGGGGCTTATTTTTGGAATTTTACGGTATAAGGAGATCAGTTTGGAGAATTTGTGGGTTGATATTGAGGCTTAGAGGGTTAACTGGTGACACACTCTATTATTCTAACCCAGTAAATGTTAGATTTTGTCTTTTAAAATTGTAAAAATGCAATTATCACGTTTACTGATAGAAAACTACACAACATTTTTTTTGCGCAATATTTTGACCGCTCAAAAACGAGGCTTGACTGAGCAAAAATTCCTTTGGCCAGTCGTCGTGTTCGGCCACCCTTCAAAAATATATTATTTTGATTGTTCCTTTATGATGCTTTAACATTCATACAAATGTACAAATGAATTTACATGATAGCCCATCAATTTAAAGTGTTCAAATAAAACTGGGAAAACTCGTCTACAGGTTCTGCCAAAATCCTCTATTTGAAAAATGAGCTATTAACAACTAATTCAAAGCAAATTTGTAAACATCAACAGTTTCAATTGCAAGGAAAACAGAACACAACTTTCATTGAGATATCTCTTAACCAAGCCAGCTGGTCCTTGTGCAGGGCTGACACTAAGATTTCAATTGCCTGGGACATGCATTGTAAATGAGAAGGAAGGGAACATCAAACCGCTATGAATTTCTTTTTAGTTCTATTCTTCCTCTACTTTAATTTCCGTATTAAGCGGGTGTCTGTAGAGCAGGTTTCCACTGTACTTAAAATTTTCTGAAGAAGCCTGCATGAGAAGGACACCTCTTTATTGGATCTTGTGCCAAATGGATCGATCATTCTAAGTGACAGTTGACGGTACCAAAAACAACTATGACAGCTAGCTCTAACCTGGAAAATCATTCTGTACTTCATCTGTTATGTGAGTAAGAACTTTCACTGTCTCTAGCCAGCCTGGCTGTTTGCTTTCCCAGTCATGAACACTGTCACAAAAGGAACAGAAAAACTGAACTTTGTTGTGCCTTTTACATAGCCAAGGCAGGAAATGAATCATCCAGATGAAATTATGTAAATTATAGTCAGAAAAGTAAAGCCTGGTTTTCAAATGGTCGCTATGACTGCTGCGATTGCTGTGATTGCTTAAAAAAAAGTTCAGTGATAGTTGTTGTTACAGGAGCAGGCAGCCAATTTCTCAAACTCCCACTAACTTTATGGGGCCGGAAAGCTGTTTTATGTTAAAATTATTGCTGTGTTCGCATTCAATATCAAAGGCCCAGTGTTTGCACTAAGCAAAATTTTCTTTGTACTGCAAATAATCTGTCAACAGGAAGCCAATATTTTCTAGTGCGACCATTTTTTTCACCTAACAAAGTTTTCTCAACTCTCACCAAAATTCAAAGATTCTGTTGACAAGATTTTTGGAGGCCCACAGTTTTTTTTTAGGCGAAAAACCCCTTTTTTTGTTGCCAGCTATCCTTCATTGGCTCATCTTATTTCACGAACATGACCAATTTAAGTTCCTTTAATCAATGTTTTTGATTAAATGAAAATTCTCACGTCTCAGAAGCAAACAAGGTTGCAAAAACAAAAAATTGCTGAGTACAAAATTTTCAGATTTTTTGCAGATGCCAAACTCTATTTTTGTTCTAGAGGAAACAGGGCCAACATTTCAATAATTTTGAAAATGATATAATGAGGTTATCAATTGACCAAGCAAAACGAATTGACTCGGGTTGTGAGCTTAGGAACTGTGCTGCTATTCAACAGGTCTTGATTTCAAAATTTGCCTTTGGGCCAAAAAAGTTACCGGACCTTTTTGAGAAACGCCAGCCCCCAGAGTCAAATATGTGCACATTATTTGTTGCTATCCCTGATAACTCCAATTCCTGATAACTGAAACCCTTGTCTTATTTCCCTTAAAGGTTCGAATCATAAGTACATGTAAAACACTGTCGTTTTTACCTGATCCAGTCAGATGTTCCAACTCCCAGCTTGCACATTTGTACTCTATGCTCTGATTTGATAAGGTCCTACATACATGTAACAAGCATGCATTAATTCATATTACTTTATCTTCACAGTAATTCTAGTACATAAAACTTAGCCTCTGTATACATATGTAGGTATTTCTGATGAAATTAAAGTCATGACAATCATCATTGATGAAGCGATGATCTTAAAGATTGAAGCGATGATTGCATCACAATTTCTGTTTTCAATCGCCTTTGAAAGTAATAGTCTTACAATAACAGCAAAGAAAACTGCAAAAAAAATAATTAATGTGCTGCACGTTCAGAATGTTTGTTTTGCTTATTTATTTTTCTAGTTTCTGTCATTGTTGTGGTTGCACAGAGGTTGCTAGTAGCTTTACTACACAAAAAATTGTTCATATTCAACAATTTTGCCAGAAAAACCGATAATTTGATGGAAATGTGCAACAAAATAGATCAGTTCTGTAGGTTAATACCCATATGGAGGCCCCAAAATTTATCATTGGAAATTACACCTCTAGACTGGATAATCATATAACAGGACAGTGATTTGTTCTCCATAAAAGCACAGATGGGTGATTTTTTTTTCTATTCGCAAGAAAAAGAAATTGTATATGGTAAAGGTTGTTAGTGTTGTTGTTGTTTTTTTTAACTGAAAAGGGAAATGAAACCTTGTTTTTCTTTGATTACATATGTATGTCCAAATATGAGTGAGCCAGCAGTCACTTGGCACAGTTTTGTTTTTGGAAACTGTTCTTTACATACGGTTTCTATCATTAATTTCTTTAGGGTGGGGAGAGTGGGGAAACCCTACTACATATTACATGGTGAGGTGAAAGAAATTTATAATACCAGTTACACTGTAACTATACTGTATGGGATATTTGTACTTAGAAAACAAAGTTTTGGGTTCTCACTTAAGATGAAAATTTGCGGTAAGGAGAAAGGCCCGATGTGAAAAATTTCGAAGAGTTTGTAGCCTCGGCCTCACCTGCACCACTCCACCCCCACCCACACACACGTTCTCGTGAGAACACTAAAAGCCGGTTTTATTTTTTCATCTCGATTTTTTTTCTCCAAACAAGAGCAAGAAGTAGACGTCGAAACAAACACTTTGAGTTATGCATAAATGTTAAATGGTGGCGGAAACAGGCTGTAATCAAACGCATTTCGAGCAAATATTTACAAATAAAGCGGAAGCAATTGGAAATCAAATTTTTATCAGTTTACATGCAAATAATGGGTAGGTTAAGTTCAGGTAGACCTGACTGAAATTGTAAAAGATCTAAAATTCGCCAACCTTCTTTTTGTATCCATCATTTACTGGAGATATAAATCCCCTGATAACTGAGTAAATCCCTGTTGTGTGAAGTGCATCTCTCGCTAATTCTGTCAGATCAACAAACAATTGTGAAAGCAAAATATTGACATCGGAAACAGACCAAAATGGCAAAGACACATACAAAGAATATTGATTCTTCACCATATCATTACCGAACATTCTGAGGTGAAGAAAAGTAATGGGATTGAAAGATCCGCAACTTAGCAATACGACTCTAGTCTTCGAGGAAGCGCCCGCCATCTTGCCTGGAGTTCGCGGTAATCGATATCTTGAATATTGATTACTTTGCGTTGCTACTGGATACTGCTCATCCCATAATAGTTATGTTGGACAGGAAAAGAAAACATGGAGGACATTCGATGAAATATGGAGATTAGGCTGTAATCTCAGAATTTGTAGTTTGTGAGCGAAAAACAGATTTCGCTCGCCTTTTGCCGGCGAGAGCCCATGACAAAGATCATAAACAAATTGGTGTTCACTTCTGAAGGTAGGAAATACTTATTGTAGATAGAGAAACAGTTGTCTTGAACCGACAAATAAATCTTCCTAAAAAATGATTAACACTAAAGAGTTCGTTCGGATCAGGCACTGTGACGTTCCTTT